GGATTTGCGAGATTTCCTCCCCACCCAGTGGGGATGGTCTGTTTCGGTAAGCACATGACACCGCAAAGCATCTGAGAAGAGGAAGGACACCTACTGAAATTTTTCAGCCTAACTTGCCACAGGACCTCTAGCCGTCGCACCGTGTTCCTCCGGCTTCGGCTTTCTTGAACGAGATGTCGTATGAACGGCAACGCGCGGAAGAGTCCAATATCTTCAAGAATGAAGACGACGGTCCCATACTGGCCCAGGTGAGGTGGGTGCCCGTAGGGACCCAGCACGCACACCGGGAAATGAATCGTCGAGTGCGCACGATCCGCAGCTTGTGCGATCCTTCCGGTCACGCCCGGCCCAGGCCGGGCAACTATGCGTAAAACATGAGTTGTCGATGCTCCTAGGTTGCTTTGCCCTGTACCTACCGAAGCCACGTAGAATGCGGGAAGCTGCAAGCAGGACCTTACTCCAAGGCGTGGCATCCAGAGCTGTACATACTGCCCCGGTTGAGCCACGCACTCCGCTGGTACCGCAATATCAAGCCATAAGAGCATGTTGGAAGACCGCGTGAGGGCCCGTCGAGAGGTGATGCGCCACGATCTGTGGAGCCACATGGTATGCAGACATGTCCCGGCACTCCAAGCAAATCCGGCGCAAATACCACATAGTAAAACCCAGCGGTAGGACGATACCCGGTCGATCAAATGGTAGAAAAGGGCACCGGTGGCGATCAAAGCAAGCACATGGTGGACCTTGAGGCCGACTTGCGGCCATCGCCGAAGAATCGCAGCGAGCGTCCAAGGAAAGATCGAGACGAAACTGCATCCGGCCTATGTAATATTAGCCACTTCTAGTCAGACATCCTTTGGGGAAATGGGAACGCTGCCGTTCTCTAGCCGTCACGTACCAGGAGTGGGATGACGAGGGAAGCTCCAAGGCTTGTATTTCGAGCAACTGTGCCTAATACGGACCCATGAAGAAGGCAATGCAGCACGCAAATGCGGCCTAGCCACCGATGGGCCCACTGGAACGTGCGCCGTTCGATACGGAAGACGTGGGCCGAAAGGCTGAAGCTAAACCCGGAGCAGAGGGGAACAAGGTGTGTGACCGCTAAGCATCCGGCTCGCTTTTGCACATCTGCCCAGGTCTGAGCATGAAGACTGATTGCAATAATGTTGGCAATCACCAGGGCTGCAAGTACTCCCCCTTGCAGGTATGATGGGATATCCAGCCACTGGAGCACGCCTGGCGTTGGCGCCTGGAAGAAGCGTCTCCAAGATACTGCGTGTTGCAGCCTCAAAGGCAAATGGCTGAATCGGCGCGCGAGGCTATAACATATCCAGCATACAAGAGCGAGGAGCCCACAAAGACCAAACTTGTCTTGAACTGGAGCCCTGGCAAGCCATTCGGCAAACTTTGACACAGGGTGGGACATGCTTTTAGGCGAGCAATACTGGACATCAGCAGGTTTATATCGTATTTTCCATACGTTGTCTGAACAACGCTGACCAGAGCTTTGTTTGAGCGGTCAAAAGCAGCTTGGGATGTTGATGCGCTGGTCATCACTGCTTGTGAGCAAGATGGGAAGACCCTTTTCTACGGCTCCTTGGGCTGAGATGACCGGTTGATGATTGAAAATGATCATCACCGAGCCCCGTCAAAAAATCATGGACAGCGTAAAAGGTGCGTCTCGTGAAGTTTATGTTCAACGTTGAACCCCAATTCTGCGCTTATCGTGTGCTTGCAATATAATGCGGTTTTAAATTGTCCCGTTGAACTCAGTTAAAGTGCTGAGACGCATTTTCAGATGTCGCATGGCCGCTTGTCAGGCTAGGCAGTGTGTGTCATTGTCAAGAGGATCAGGGTGGGGTTTTCACACCAGAAGTTTTCAATAGACCAAGTCATTCAGGCTATCAATTCAATCATACCCGAGCTCGTCGAAGACGCAAAGAGCGTTGTTTCTACGGAAGGCGGTCGTGTTGTAGCAAACTTGCCTCCGAGCTGTATTCCGAATAGGATTCTAATCTAGTTCCGATATGACGAGGCTGGTCCGATCACTGCAGAATCTGTGTTATATAACCCCTTCTAGTTATGTAGTATTGCAGTTACATCAGGCATCTTTTCGCTTAGTCTAAACCTTGGCATTTGGTTCGTAATCTGGAAGTCCCCAGACGTGTTGCGGTCAATGTTTGGCTGAAGACGATTACAAGCAGTTCTCTGGCCCTAATGTGAGCATGATTGGTAGATCGCACAGATATCAGCAAAAATAGCTCTTTGCCAAAAGATTTGAAAGGCTCCTTTAATCCCTCATTGGGCAACGTATACCAGATTCAAAAGAAACAAAAGAAGACAAAAGATAGATGACAGCAGCGGATTTGCCAACCTCCAAACCCTTCCAACATCAAGCCGGTCCTAAGAGTGAGTGATGGGCTTATGAGAAGAGGTGACATGTATATGAGAAACTTCCAGGAGCTCGGCAAGAATAGCCGATTTCTCCCCGCTCGACTTTTCGAGTCTGAACATGAGCTTTGCCCTGACAAGCCAGGATTTACCGTTCATTCGCTTCAACATGGAAGAAATTGAGTGTTTGGTTGGATTGGAAGATTCGTCCGCCTCAATCTTAAAGTTTGTCGGGTCCACTGTGGCATATATCCAGATGAATCCGTTGGAGCACTCGAAGGAAGCCGCACTCCCGTTCCATTTCGAAACCAGCGTGTTGAATAATGGCCCGAAGACTGTGACTGGAAGGCCAACACAGACATACGTTGCCTCACCAGGGCTCTCTGGACGCACAGCCTTGGGTACCGATTTAGCCTCTTCAATGGATCTTGAATCAACAACGACCGAGTCGGATACCCAGAATTCAGTTGACCAGCGATTGGAAGAAAGAGAGCCTCTCTGCAACAGGGAATGCTGGAGGCCAAAGAGGCTTCCGCTGAAACGTTTTGTTTGCTTCTTTTCCTTCGCGCTGAGAAGGATAATCTTCAAGTTTGCTGAATGCGCCATCTCCAGAATACCGATCTGATAGTCATGCGGCTCCAGATTCGTGAGCTGTGCTTGAGGGAAGACATGGGTGACGCCATTCTCGATGGATACGAATTTGCCTTGGCTATCAGCTTTGTTTGGTGGATGGCCTTGTGGAATCATGGTGGAAGAGAGTGTGATGTTGTTACTCCGACCGCAGAGCTTTGACTGTTCCCATTTCCAAACAAGCTCCTCGGTCTTAGAATATATAAAAGGGGCTTTGGTGACTGGAACTTTCGAGGAGAGATCAGCATGAGGAACATGCTTCCTGCTTTGTTCAGCATGTTTACAAATGGCCATTGGAAGTCAAAATACTTACTCATTCGTACGCCGCCAATGCGACAGAAACCGGTCTTCCAGTACTTGTAACATCAGGTGCAGTATCTAAAAGTTCTTCCTGGGAAAATCTCCTGGTAGCAATCCGCAGATCTGGTCTCTGCCAACGTAAATGTGCGGAATCAGGTACAAAGTTGGCCATCTCTAGGATGAGATTAGGGTATCAAACTGTATGGGAGCGCCTTACTGTGAGTGGCATTCTTGACGGTCTAGGACTGTTGGTATCACCAGCTAGGTACCGTGTACACAGTTAAATGAACAGTGTTCATGCTCCTAAAGCGAAAGTTGATTGATTCATGTAGATAGATGTTCATCCTAGGTCAAGGCCCAATACCCCTGAATCCATACGGCGGGAGCCGTTGCTTACCAAGATTACGTACAACCTGTCTTTGTTTGTTCTGACTGGAGTATATGTCCCGACAGTTTCCATCTAACAGTATCACAGGAGTCATTCATCCACGAACTTCCATCAACCCTTCGCGGTAACCGGAGGATCGGCAGACTATTCGCAACCGATGTGTACTTTTGACTACGAGCCTCAAAGTTCGGTGAGGCTTCGGAATAAAACCCTTCTCGTCCAGCCAATCTCAAGCGCTTGGCCCTCAGATATCCCCATGTCCGCCCCACCAGAAACCAGTACTATGGTGTGTCAAAGCCAGAGAGACGATTTTGAACACCATTTTTCGCACCAGCCTTCAAATTCCCGAGGTCATGGCAGCATCAGTTTCAATACCGAGATCAGTTCCCAGCTGACCTCAGAAGATATTTCTTTTATTCAGCAATCGAAGGGAAAATGTCAGACTGCCAATGTATGCTGGGAGGGTGACAGTAAGGGCCGATCCTTTTCAACTTCCAGCAATCTTCTCCGTCACGAACGTGAAAGACATAGCAGAAGCGACAAAGTATCATGCAACTTCAGTGGCAGCTCGTTTACTCGTATGACAGCTCTCAATGTTCACCAAAAGAGTGAGGTTTGCTTGAAATCTAAGCGAAAGGGGCTCTAAGCTTCAACGATCATCTTGGGGGTTTCAGCCATGCGGCATTATACAAATATTATTCCAAGACTAGCTTGCTGCCCTAACGGATCAGCTCGTATTTCTTCGTGAGGATCTCCTTATGGAATTTCTGTGGCATACTGTAAAAGAAACTGTTTTGCCTTATTGCCCAGTAAACAGGCTACGAGTTTGTTCATGTTTCTTGGTGATAGGTGGCTTCCAGCCTAGAAGGGTATCACCAGTTTACTGAAGAGGCCACTAGTCCTTTGACTAGTACTTCCTGGGATTTTACAGATTTTAAATGCACAAATTGTCCCATTATCCGCGTACCGATTATCCGTTCATTTCACGCTTCCAGCTTCACTATACCGACAGGCTCCCACGTGGCCTGCTCGATTGATTCGTTGAATATTATTTCCCTGGAGACTGTCACGCAGGACTGAAGTGTCAAAAAGCAAGAAACATGTATACTAAGTATTAATTGAAACTACTTTATATTCTATTTCTGGGCACACGGAGTCGTTCCAGTTGAGTTATTTCAATTCAAAAAATAGTCGCTTTGCTGCTTGATTTTAGTGAGAGCTTTTTGACCCAGTGTACAGTACTGTATACCACTAGTTAGAGGGAATGAAACCGAAAGACTAGTCTCAAACCCTAAGCCTCGAACCATCTCACAGTATACTCCTTTCCTGCCCGAAACATTTGCCGGGTGTTGGGGATTTTTCCCCAACTGCCGCCGTCGATATCAATAGCATTGATGGCCCTCCCCAAAACATCATACACGGTGAAACGGTACTCGTCTTCCTCGCCATTGATAATTTTGAATGCTATGTCGGTTGCTGACGAGACAATAATTTGAATCATCATTGGACCGATCGGCCAGGATTTGATTCCAGATCCTGGAATTATCAATTTCTTTGAGCCACGAGGTAAAAGAATATGCTTATTCGCATCCGAGCTCCTAATAAGAGTCACTCCATATTTTCTCATAATATCAGGACATACTTCATACCCTGGAAGATGGTGGACCATAGTAGATGATCCAGGTACGACTCCCTTAGGGGCGAGGGAGTTGGGAGGGATTGGAACCACATCAACGGTCCCAGAATGGAGATCGGAGACTGGCCTGCACCATCCTGGGAGAGCCAGTAGGCCAAGAGGGACGAAGTAAATAGGTCTCATTTCTGTATTTGAAAGACCACTGAAATGAATTAAAAGTAAACTGATGTAGTATAGGTCACAGAGGAAGACAGCCGTTGCGAAAGACCTGGCGAGCATTATATAATGCCTTTTGGACTACTACTTAAGAAGTTCATGGGGCTGACCTCGTTGAGTAACGTGGCGTCACCTGTACGGGATACAGAGGATTTCGAAAACAGTTTACCCCCAGACACACCCGTTTTCTTTTCCCGGAGACCCACAAGGACGTCTAGTCCGGATCGGTGGGTTTCACAATCCCCCGCAGACAATAATACGGTGTTACGCCTCAAGGAAGTTACCTGAGCTAGGCAAATTTAGATTACCGCATTCTGAGTGGGGCGCGGGGAAAGAAAGCGTGTGTGTCTGGGGGGTGAACTGTTTTCGAAATCCTCTGCACTGTTGGAACACTCGAATAGTCCTGCACCTCATGCCGCTGTTTGACCGTGTCTATGGTACGGGGCGCCCCCATTTTGTTCAACAGGTACCTGTTCTGGAATGGAGCCAGGCAGCAAGGAAGTGTGGTTACTCGAATTCTCGGGCACTAAAGTTTTCCTCGCGCATGTGTAATAAATTCTGTCTCTGCAAGTGCTACCATGGAGTCTAAAGCAAGATTCAAAACTAAGCTGATTTTCTGATGAGGTATTTTATATTATAGTTCCTATTAATAGTTATCAAGCCGACAGAGCTTCTTTAATTGTCTCTCAGTTACCTATCTCATAGAAATTACGCCTTAATCAAAAACAGTCGAGCCCTTGAAATCAGGGAACTTTGAATTAAAAATGCGACTATTTCGGTTCTGAAAATGTGCCAAGAAGTGAAGTCGATTTTGAGTTAGCTAAATCCGATGCAGCAGTTTAGGGGGCAGAATGTGCCTTCAAATCGGTGCAGCAGGAGTAAGCCAATACCCACTACTGCACACACGTATTGACTGCCATCTGGTAACTATATCCCTACCGTGCCTATCCTTTCCTTACTACTCCAGCCTGGTGTCAAGTGTATAACTTTCTTAACTTGTTTTAGTAGGTTCAAACCGAATACCGATTGGGGCTTCGAAACGTCTACCTCGGTTACGATGGGTAAAATTCATTGCAACTTTGAGCCCTTGTACAGCTTGGTCTGGCCTGGGCTATCTGTGATTAATCTACCTTTAGAGTGGCGAGAAAGCCTCCACTTGACGGAGCGAGACTCAACTTAACAGTTACCCGCATGGATTCAGGTACTCGCAGACCAAATAGGCTTCTCGAGGAATTCTCAACGCAGGAGGGGTGGCGGGCTTATGGGCGATTATACTGTGCTTCTGGGACACCTTGCTAACCACTAGGCTGGGAAGCAGTACCACACTCCATGCAAATCATATCGGCTAAGTTCGCATGGAAAATGCAAACGGATGATAGAGACAGGGAACAACAAAGATATAGCGCCGAAGTACCGCACAAGCAACAGATTAAAGCCAATGTTGCAGGCATGGCTAGTGTTGGTTTACAGCAAGGATGTTCGTTATCTTGCCCAGGGGATTGTTCGTAGATTTGCTTTAGAAATGTACGAGGTACTTTCATCGATAGGTTGTTTTAGGCTGCTTCTGTGGATTTCTCTGTCTGCCCTGCTCTGAGATCGGGGGGCTGCCATACCTTATTTCGGATTATTGCAGTGAAGAATAAGGTACTCCATACTTTAACCAGAAATTAAGATTGGCTGGTGTTACTTGCGGTAAAATAAGATTTTAGCGCATTTAGCCTACAACCATAGCGTGCTTTTTATTCTTACCGGTTTTACTCTAATCCTCAAGATGGCGACTTCGATCAGCCAGGGAATAGTTAGTATTTGTGCTGCATACCATACTATACTGGTTAGTATCAGTATAGTATACCCTTCGCTGGCACTTGCTTGTCAGTTTCGTGTCCTTTCTCTGCCCCAAACAGCACAATCGCCTCCTCCCCCCGCATAACAAAAGGGACACATGAAAATAGATTATCCAGGTCTGCACAAAATAATGCTAAAATTGATAAGGCCCAACCGGATTGATATTTTCCGTGCGTTTTTAGGCCTAGATTTAATCTTTCTTTTACATTCTGAACAATCCAGTAAGTTAGTAGTGGGTCTTCCCACATCCACAGTTTAGGAACCGTGAGCAAATAATTTAGATTACCGGCGCCAACTAGACTAGAAAACATGTGCTTACGGTAAATATACAACTCACACTAAGTAAATATAGCCTACTAGCACCTTTGGAAGTGTTTATACTCCTCAGAAAGCTAGCCAGCAAAATTATAAAAGGGGACAGGTTCCCAAACCTACTGTTGGTTACTACTTTCTGGTTATCCTTTACTACGCAGAACTTTTTACTACTTCAAACTTACAACATAAGCCCTGCAAAAACATTTCAAGTTTCAAAATGCAGATCGTCGCAACTCTTGCTACTCTTTCTTTACTTCCCTTCCTGGGCGTATTTGCTGATGAGCACCCGCAGTGTTGGTGTGCTTACAAGGTTGGAAATACCTGGCAAGCGGATGAGGCCCTTACTTTTAATACTTGCCACAGGAATGTTCCCGATACAGAGGTACAGTGTTTTCACCCATTGCCCGTAAGGTTTGCACAGCTAATAGTATTTTAGGGTCAGTATGATTTTGGCGTTGAGAGAGTAAGTATAATATGCTTCTGATAACTGCCGTCTGAAAATTATCTAATAAGTTATAACTAGTGTGTCGCCATTCAGCATAGGCGTCTTGATGGAGACAGGTGGAACGGCGATTGTGTGCAACAAGGAAAGGATGGCTGGTATCCAATCAACGACGGTGCTATCGACTACACTCAGGCTCCTAGGTATGGGACTACCAAGGGCTTCTGCTAGGTGCACATACTATCCCTGGCTGGCTCATACTGCCAAGCCTCACTAAGCGACATGTCTACAGGAGGTTGGGACTTACCAGGAATATGGGGATCAGTATTGTATTGACTCAAACGGCGCCTCTGGGGTTACCAAGGATTCAGCGTCATGCAATACTTCCCCTCTTTGGTTTACCGTCCTTTTGCCACCTTTTGCCACCTCAGATTTGTAACCTCCGAGTCAAGGCTATGAGCCAGGGTATTTCGACCCCCTCGACCTCAGTATATACTTTACCAGAATCAACACTCTTTTCATCTCATGATAACCATCCTATTGGAAATTAGGCAGCGAAAGAAAAAGTTCTCGGACGAGTGGCGCCCCTTTCTACATGGAAATCAATCAGCCTACGGCGCTGTCAATAGTCCGAATTCGGATGATAACAGTGCTCAGTCTGACAGCGAGTCCGATTCAGATAAGAAAAAGAATAAAAGTGCTGCTCGGATCAAAAGTTTTCGTAGAGAACGACTCCATTCGCTCGGTACTAGTGGAATTACTCGAAGGGCTTTAGTATTTTTCATATACTTGATCCCTAGGAACAATCGTAAAGAACGCTCTATATTGCCACTAGCGTTGTCTGTGTCGCGTGTCAACGAGTTCTGAATATTCTGATCCACTAGCGGTTAGCCGACTTTGCCGATAGTATTTTTCTAACGAAACGCTATACGCCTCATTGGGAAAGTGTGCTTTGTTGCAGCTTGTTGGTGGCGGAGCTGGACTAGGGCTGATGGAAGCACCCGTGACAATCTCGATCAGATGGTTTTCCTACCGGTAAATCACATACGGCTTTCTGTCATCATGAATCTACCGATGAATTTCTACATCGAGAACGACTTAGCAGAGCTTGTAAAGTCGATCGATTAGGGCGGAGCGTTGAACAATATTCTAAAAATGGCTATTCTCAATATCGCCCCGGTAGTGGCCAAGTTGTTTATTGGATGTTTTGTTTTCTATCATAAATTCAACATCTACGCTTCTCTCTTGGTGGTGATTGCCTCTGTCACCTATGTTTCGGCAGAAGTTTTTACTTCCAATTGGAACCTAGAGCATCAACGCGAGGTGAAGCAAACCCAGCGAAATGAAACCCGCATCGTGCAACAAGCCATGCAAGGCTGGCGCACTATCACATACTTCAACCAGTTCTCTTACGAGAGACCGGATTCCTGGGGTCAATGACCGAAAAGCACCCCGTTTGCGAACCAGTTGATGGTCTGTTGTGGAAAGCTCCAGCGCCCGGTATTTTGGCCTACAGAAAATGGTCAAAACCGTGCACGTCACCATCGTATGCTTTGCCACTCCAAATTTGTGCAGAGCTAACATATCGTTGATATATCCTTGATTAGTGGTGTCTTCCAACGCCTGTATCTCTTCTCGATCGCTTCGTGAGATTGTAGACAGACTCGGGGCCCTCGAACCACTTAGTCGGGTTGGATCTGTGCGGTCGAGATTTAGGAAGAGAGGAGAAGAATCGAAGGAAGCTTGGTTCTCTATTGAGAAACCTCGGATGTCAGATTCAGGTTCGGTGTTTTTGGTACTCTTTTCTCGGTTGGAAGATGCGCCAGAATCGTCCGATTCAGCGTCCCGAATCAGAATCAGGGTTGGGAAGCAAGTGGTCTGCTTCTTCAGAGACCGCTGCATCGATTTGAGGATTCGACTGCGCTTCCTGAGGGACTGGCAGGTCTGGGTCATTGTGTAACGTCGAGTCATCCCCTTCTCCAATAATTGCGTCTCTCACGAAGTGAATAGTGCCACCGGCGTTTTGAGTGATGTCAGGCTTCTTGCC